AGATAGATAGATAGATAGATAGATAGATAGATAGATAGATAGATAGGATAAAAAAACTGCTTTGTACAATAGCAGACTATTGTGATATCCACCATGCTTAACTGCTGACAGACGTCTGTAGTGATTCAGCCTGTCTTAGCTAGGGTTCCTGTTGCTATGAGGAAAGGGTATAATTAGCTGAAGGACCAAGTCGGGAACTAAATCAGAGACCATGGAGGAATGCAGCTAACTGCTATGCTCCAGGTGGCTTGCTCAGTCTGCTTTCTTAAAAATATATTTTCTATAAAGGTTTCTATGTATGAGTGTTTTGCCTGCGTGTATATATGTGCATCATTTGCGTGCCTGGTGCCTGTAGAGGCCATATCTCCTAGAACTGGAGTCATAGATGACTGTGATCCATCGTTTGTGTGGTGAAAAGGTGCCTAAAGGTAAGCGGGTGGAATCTGATGAAGGCATTTTCTCTATGGGAGTTCCTCTTTCAGAGAACTCTAGCTGTGTCAGGCTGACCAAAAAAAAAAAAAAAAAAAACACTTTTTTTTATAATGTTCCAGTGAATAGCCTGGAACGTGGCAGATGTCACATGTGTTTGTAGGATGAATTTGTGTAGATATAGTTCCTGAGTGTATAAATGCATTTATACACGGTAGATAAATCCTGCAAAATCTCCCTCACTTTCTAAAGTTAACTTGATTAATTTTTTAATTAAAAATGTTTAAATTTATTCATATATACAAGAGTGTTTTGCCTGTAGGTATATATGTGCAGCATGAATGTTCCTAGTGCCAGAAAGGGTCAGAAAAGGGCACTGGGTCTTCTTGAACTGGACTTATGGTTCTGGGAACCAAACCCTGGTCCTCTGAAAGAGTAGCCAGTGCTCTTACTGATTAGCCATCTCTCCAGTTCCTGCCATTTGCTTTAGCAATGCATGGAAGTCCATGTTAGCCTGTAGCTTCACAAACACAGTACATTACCAATTTTTAAAATCATTACTAGTTTGAATGCTATCTTGATTTGAATTTTCTTCATTTTGAATGCCTGTGAGCATCTTTTTATAATTCTATGAACCATTCGTACTTCCTTTTCTCATTTATGATCTATTCAATTTGTTTGTTTGTTTTGAGACAGACGTTTCTCTGTGTGTCCCTGGCTGTCTTGGAACTCACTGTTTAGACCAGGCTGGTCTCAAATTCAGAGATCCTCCAGTCTCTGACTCCCAAGTGCTAAAATTAAAGGTATGCACCACCATCCAGCTCTGTTACAATTTTTTGCCTATTTTTTAAAAGTGTGGGTTTTTTTTGTTTTGTTTTTGTTTTTGGTTTTTGGTTTTTCGAGACAGGGTTTCTCTGTGGCTTTGGAGCCTGTCCTGGAACTAGCTCTTGTAGACCAGGGTGGCCTCGAACTCACAGAGATCCGCCTGCCTCTGCCTCCCGAGTGCTGGGATTAAAAGCATACACCACCACTGCCTGGCTTAAAAGATATTTTTAAAGGTTTCTTCTCTTTCTCTTTTTTTTAATCTTGTGTGTATGCATGTGTGTGGTAGTGTTGTTGGGGACCAGAAGAGGTTATTGGATCCCTGGCACTAGAGTTACAGGCTGTTGTAAACTACCATGTGAGTGCTTGAAACTGAACTTGGGGCCTCTGCAGAACAGCAGGTGTTCTTAACTACTGAGCCAACTTGATAGTGTCCTTTCTCAAAGGGCAC